CTGTCTGTCTGTCTGTTTGTCTGTCTTTCTTTCTTTCTTTCTTTCTTTCTTTCTTTCTTTCTTTCTTTTTTTTTTTTTTTTTTTCGGTACCAGGGATCAAACTCAGGACCTTGCACTTGCCAGGCAACCACCGAGCTATCTCCCCAGCCTCCTCTCAGAGTAAATTGGAATCAGTTCTTGATTGTTTGAATCTCGTATCTACATTGAATCTTGGCAGTACCAGTTAGATTTATAACAGCTTCAACCAAAAGTATTAACATATAAATGGAGTTACCAGAATAAGTGATATATGCCAAGCCATTTATGCTAAGCCTAAAGCTGCTCTTCATTTTATAGGTTTGAAACTGAAAATTTTCAGTGAAAAATTTTTACTGAAAATACTATTAAGATGGGTTAAAGAGAATTAGTATGCACTCACAAAATAAGCAGGATCTCCTCATTAATTTTTCACTGTGAGATATGAAATGTTGCAAGCTTCCAAATGTCGTTGGATGCTGTGGATTGATTATAGCTGAGTAACAAATAGGCTTTTAAAATGAGATGCTATATATTTTATTTGTATTAAGTGAGTTTCAGAAACAATTAAAATCTTCCTTTAGTATACATTTTTTTAAAAAATAAAAGTTATCTCGATTTCATAGTCCTTTTTTAAAACTACTTCATGAGATTGCTTTGAAAATGTGGGTGTCTTCCTCGCAGTTTGTGGATCTTTTCAAGAACATTCACAATGAGTGAGGAATAGGAGCCTAACTCAAACAAGTGCTCAGCATGTGTTCCATGTCCAGCACCCATAAAAGGAAAGAGTGACCTGATTGTGAGCTTCACATGAGGCAACAAGTACGTCATTAAGTTGTACTGACGTATTGCTGATGTTAGAAAATGAAGGCATTGGCTAGATTATGAAGAGGATCAACACAACGCTCTTAACTTTAATATTTCTCTAAAGTTTAATTATGTTTCCCTAATGTGAAGTGGGCCAGAAGGACTATTTGCATGTAAGCATGATGACCACCTAATAATAAGCTTACTGATGTCTAATGGAATTAACTTCTAACTTTTAGGCTGTGCATCTAAATATGTATGTGCAGTTGTGTTCCCAGCACAGAGGCTGTGTTGTTTTGTGAAGATTGTACATTTAGAGTAAATGAAACATTTTAGAAAAAAGCATAACGAAGAAATACAGAGATATTACCTCCTTATTTTTACCAAGATTATTTTTCCTCCTCAATTTATAGATTTTGAGAAATCTATACTACATATATTTAAGCTTTGGACCTGAGGATGTTTTCTCTAAAAACTAAACTAAGTAAACAAACTTTCATTTCACATTGGAAAATATGTTTTAGAAATCCTAAATTACTATAATTTCAAGTAGTGTGATCACCTTCTGAATCTCAAAGCATAGCCCTGGGCTGAAATGGTTTTTGGACTTCACTTTTCCTGAGCATGAACTCTGGGTAATAACATGCTATTGGGTGAAATGGTGTTAGCACCCCAGCCCACAGCTTTAGTGTTTGTTTTGTGTATAGTACCAGCCTTAGTTTGATCGTGGTATTTTATAGTGAAACTTGAGCTCACTATTCTTGGTTACATTACTGGAGGGTTAATAATACCTCACAAAATGTGAGATTTTCCCTATCATTTAATGCTCTAAATTATTTATATGAATTACAGTGGTATTGTATTCTGTCAAATTTGCAGAATAAATTGGGGATTTTAAAAGTTCTCTGTTACGAATGTGTCCACAAAGTTTATTCCAACTATGATAAGAAATGTGGTGGGTGGATTGTACAAGGTGGATGGAGAGTTTGAGGATCCTGTTGGGTGGCAGCAAGGGCATTGTTTAGATGGAGTGTGAATTTATGAGAGGACAGCAAGGGTGCTCTCTCTCTCTGTCTCTCTGTCTCTCTGTCTCTCTGTCTCTCTGTCTCTCTCTTTCTCTTTCTGTCTTTCTCTTTCTTTTTGTTTCTACTTTTGGAACCACTGGTGGTGAGGGCGGCATAACACCAGCCAGTATTTATGGATCATTTCCAAGTTCTGAATATAGGCCACAAATTCTCTACAAGATTTATTTACCTATTATGTCTTATCATAACTCTGTCTTTTGGTTTCCTTATGTAGCTCACTGGCTACTCTTTCTCCTTTGTTGGTTGCTTTCTTCAGATGTGCAAATCTTGGGGAGCAACAAGATTCCATCCTTGGTTTTCTTTATTTATGTTCTCCTTGCGGTGTTCGCATTCAGTTTCAAGGTTTCCAATGCCATCTGCCATATTCTGACTCTCTCCAGTCTGTATCTCCATACTGGACCTTTCCCAGTATCTATCTACCTGCTTGAAATCTTTATTTGGATAACCAGTAGGCTTCTGTGTGCTGGTCAGCTTCCTGCTACTGTGACAAAATACCTGAGAAAATCAGCTGAGGAGAAGAATTTGGTTCGCTGTGTCAGAATTTTCTTTCTATGATTGCTTGGTACTGTAGCTTTGGGCTGCTGGTGCTACAAGTACATGCAAGGAACTGATAGTGGAGGTTGTCTTCTCATTGGGAAGGAGCAAAGAGATGCAGGCGGGGTCTAAGTTCTGAGTAGCCCTTCATAGGCACATTCGCAGGAACCTCAGCTTCCTTTAAGTAGGTCCTGACTTCTAAAGGATCCACCATCTTCCAGAGTGCTATAGAAAAGTGACCGAGCCTTTAGCACCTGGGCTTTTAGGGGGACACTTCCAAGCCACAGCAGCTTCCTGGTCATGTTATTACAGTGTCCTCTGACGGGACTCCCTCCAGCTTTTGCTCTTGCTTCCCTGTGTTGCCCGGATACCAGAGTCTCTTTGCCTTTACCCAGCTTTAATTCTACCTACCTAACACAGTGCTGGCTGATAGCAGATCTTCAATCCCTTTAGGTTGAATTGAACTTTCTAATTTTGTTAACATCACATTTTATAATATATTTTTCTAAATATTAGAACTTGGACCAAATTAAAATATTTGTACTTTGGAGAATTTTTTTTTCTTACTTTAAGTGGAAATTATTTTCATAGAGTCCAGAGATCTAATTTTCTGACTGTCTGCTGAGGAAGGCATGATACCTGAAGAACAAGTGAGGGTGTCCAACTTGCATGTGAATCAGTATCAGTCATGTTTCTAATTGCTTTAAGCATTGCTTCTCCCACCCCCAGTGAAGTGACTAATGACTATAGTTGGCAGTAGCTGAGCTAAGACACTGTAAATTAATGTTGCCATGCTAATTTCAACACAGCTGAGAAACCAGCCCTCCAGTCTGCTGTTTCTTTCACCTTTGGCAGCATTCACATTGTGTGAATATTAATCTGAGAAATCCTTACAAGGGTACCATGCTGTCCTCTTGATGCTGCTGGGAGCTTTTGTGAAGCTGCAGGGATTTACAAGATAAATTTATTGGCGTGATCAAGAGCAGTCCATCTGAAAATAATGGTCCCAGTGGGCTTGACCTCTCCTCCCACTTGTCAGAGACACCCTTTCTTCAGTTTTCCTTGTTGCTTCCAAAGTCAACCTCTGACCTTCTGGTAGTCTTGTCGCCTTGCTATGCTGATTTGCCCCTTTACATGTGTTTGCTGTGGGGAGCACAGCTTTTGTTTGTGTCTGTCTGGTCTTCAGCTGGGGGCTCCTGAGTGACAGGTGGTTCAGGTTGTGAAGACAGTAGATACTCTGTGATGTAGTGGTTGTTGACATTAGTGTTGTGATAAAATATTGATGCTGCTGGTGAGATTTTCTTCTCTGACTTACAAAGGAAAAGCTCTGATATGAAACTACTGAAGTGTGCTTTTCATATTGTAAACTGACCTTTTTGTGTGCTTATTTTGATATTTCAGACATTCCATATCAAAGATGATAATTATTTTAATACCTGTAAATAGTTATATGCTATTAAATAAAACAGTAAATCTTTGTATTACGTAGGGCTATAAGGAGGGAACATAATCTTTTTGGGAGTTCCCCCCCTTTGGCTTTTTGAGGCAGGTCTTTTTTTATATAGGTTTTTTTTTTTTTTTTTTTTTGTATTTTTAGGGAAGGGTCTACAGGGTATTCAGGGGCTCACTACTAGATCAGACTCTCAGTGATCCAAGTGTTTACAGCCTCCCAAGAACTGGGATTACAGGGGTGGGGCAGGCCCAGGACTTGAATCCCCGGCCCCTTTGCCTGCTTGTAGGCGCTTTAATCCACTGAGCTATTTGGCTGGCCCAGGCAGGATCTTACTGTGTAGCTCAGGTTATGTTGAACTCCCAACAATCCTCTTGCCTCAGCTGGCCAAGTGCTGGGATTGTAGGTGTGCTCCACCATGCTAAGCCAAGTTAATCATTTTTATAAAGGAATTACACATTTTCAGGATACATTTTTTTTTTTCTTTTTTTCGGAACTGGGGATTGAACTCAGGCCCTTGCACCTGCCAGAGAAGCGCTTATTCCACTGAGCCATCTCCCCGGCCCCCTCAGGATACGTTTTGAAGAGAGATTACAAACTCATGATGATAGGTCAGATGCCACCATTGCTGAGCAAATTTTTTACCTAGTAGAAGCTTTGTAAGCTTACAATACTGAAGTAGCATTAAATTTATAAGCATATGAGCATTTAATTCATTGTGTGTAGGTGTAAATGTAGACAGCATTCACTAACCTACCTTTTAAATAATTGCTTATATTTGCTTTGAAGATTTATGTATAAGAATAAAACTTAGTTGCAGTTGGCAGTCTCATTTAATGTTTATTATGATTCTTGAATCATCAAATAGGAAAAATAGAAATGTGTTCAAAAATCATTGTGAAGCTTACTAATTCTAGAAATACTAGAAGACTGATATTTATATTTGAAAAGCAGGGGGAAAAAGCGCAAACTGTTCTGTTTATTTATATTCCATGTAAACAGAAAATACTTTATGAAAATATCAGATTTAGAACAACTTATGCTTATTGTTTTATTTCCCCAAGATAATAATTGCTATTTCTTTCTCCTGTTTCTTTCTTCTGTTTCAGGTTCTAAGATTTAAGCAATGGGGAGACATTTGGCCTTGCTTCTGCTTCTCCTCCTCCTCCTCCAACATTTTGGAGACAGTGATGGAAGCCAAAGACTTGAACGGACTCCGTCTGTCCAGTTTACACATTTCCAGTACAATGTCACTGTGCACGAGAACTCTGCTGCCAAGACCTATGTGGGGCATCCTGTAAAGATGGGCATTTACATTACAAATCCATTGTGGGAATTGAGGTACAAAATTGTCTCTGGAGACAATGAGAACCTGTTCAAAGCAGAAGAGTACATTCTTGGAGACTTTTGCTTTCTAAGAATACGGACCAAAGGAGGAAATACAGCTATTCTTAATAGAGAAGTGAAAGACCATTATACATTGATAGTCAAAGCAGTTGAGAAAAACACTAATGCTGAAGCACGAGCAAAAGTCAGGGTGCAAGTGCTGGATACAAATGACTTGAGACCGTTATTCTCGCCCACCTCATACAGTGTTTCTTTACCTGAAAACACAGCCATAAGGACCAGCATCGCAAGAGTCAGTGCCACAGATGCAGACATAGGAACGAATGGTGAATTTTACTATAGTTTTAAAGACCGAACAGACATGTTTGCTATTCATCCAACCAGTGGTGCAGTAGTTCTAACTGGCAGACTTGATTACACGGAGACCCAGCTCTATGAACTAGAAATCCTTGCTGTGGATCGGGGAATGAAATTGTATGGCAGCAGTGGGATCAGCAGTTTGGCCAAGCTAGCAGTTCATGTGGAACAGGCCAATGCATGTGCTCCTGTGATAACAGCAGTGACATTGTCACCGGCAGAAATGGAGAGAGACCCAACATATGCAATTGTGACTGTGGATGACTGTGATCAGGGTGCCAATGGGGAAATAGCTTCTCTAAGCATTGTGGCAGGTGACCTTCTTCAACAGTTTAGAACTGTAAGATCCTTTCCAGGTAGTAAAGAGTATAAAGTCAAAGCCATTAGTATCATTGACTGGGATAGGAATCCTTTTGGTTACAATCTAACACTGCAGGCTAAAGATAAAGGAAGTCCTCCTCAGTTTTCTTCGCTAAAAGTAATTCATGTGACTTCTCCACAGTTCAGAGTTGGGCCACTTAAGTTTGAAAAGGATGTTTACAGAGCAGAAATAAGTGAATTTGCTCCTCCCAACACACCTGTGGTCATGGTAAAAGCCATTCCCAGTTACTCCCATTTGAGGTATGTTTTTAAAAGTACACCTGGAAAAGCTAAATTTAGTATAAATCACAACACTGGTCTCATTACCATTTTAGAACCAATTAAAAGACGGCAGGCATCTCATCTTGAATTTGAAGTAACAACGAGTGACCGAAAAGCCTCCACCAAAGTCTTGGTTAAAGTCTTAAGTGCAAATAGCAACCCCCCTGAATTTACCCAGACAGCGTACAAAGCATCTTTTGATGAAAACACACCCATTGGAACTACTGTGTTGAGAGTGAGTGCTGTAGACCCTGATGATGGGGAGAATGGGTATGTGACTTATAGTATTGCAAATATAAATCCTGTGCCATTTATGATTGACCATTTCACTGGTGCTGTGAGCACTTCAGAAAACTTGGACTATGAACTGATGCCCCGAGTGTATACCCTAAGGATTCGAGCATCAGACTGGGGCTTGCCATACCGCCGGGAGGTTGAAGTCCTTGCAACAATAACTCTGAACAACCTGAATGACAACACACCTTTGTTTGAGAAAATAAACTGTGAAGGAACAGTTCCCAGAGATCTAAGTGTGGGAGAGCAAATAACTACTGTTTCTGCTATTGACGCTGATGAACTTCAATTAGTACGGTATCAGATTGACGTGGGAAATGAACTCGATTTGTTTGGCTTAAACCCCAACTCTGGAGTTTTGTCACTAAAGCAGTCACTAATGGATGGCTTAGGTGCCAAGGTGTCTTTTCACAGTCTGAGAATTACAGCCACAGACGGAGAAAATTTTGCCACTCCATTATATATCAACATAACTGTGGCTGCCAGTCGCAAGCCAGTAAACTTGCAGTGTGAAGAGACTGGTGTTGCCAAAATGTTGGCCGAGAAACTCCTGCAGGCAAATAGATTACACAGTCAAGGGGAGGTTGAGGATATTTTCTTTGATTCCCACTCTGTCAATACTCATGCCCCCCAGTTTAGAAATACTCTTCCAGCAGGTATTGAGGTAAAGGAAAACCAACAGGTGGGTTCTAGTATAATTTTTATGAATGCTACTGACCTTGACTCTGGCTTTAATGGAAAACTTGTCTATGCAATATCAGGAGGAAATGAGAACAGTTGTTTCATTATTGACATGGAAACAGGAATGCTAAAAATTTTATCTCCACTTGACCGTGAAACAACAGACAAATATACCCTGAATATTACTGTTTATGACCTTGGTATACCACAGAAGGCAGCTTGGCATCTTTTAGATATTACCATTGTGGATGCCAATGATAATCCACCTGAATTTTTACAGGAGAGCTATTTTGTTGAAGTGAGTGAAGACAAAGAAATAAACAGTGAAATCATCCAGGTTGAGGCCACTGATAAAGATCTAGGTTCCAATGGACAGGTGACATACTCTATTCTAACAGATACAGATAAATTTTCAATTGACAGCACCACTGGGGTTGTTAAAATTATTCGTCCTTTGGATCGTGAGGTACAGCATTTGTATTACTTAAAGATTGAAGCCAGGGATCAAGCCAGAGAAGAACCCCAGTTGTTTTCTACTGTGCTCTTGAAAGTATCACTAGAAGATGTTAATGACAATCCACCAAGGTTTATTCCACCTAACTACCGTGTGAAAGTTCGAGAGGATCTGCCCGAAGGAACCATAATCATGTGGTTAGAAGCCTATGACCCTGATTCAGGTCAGTCTAGCCAAGTGAGATACAGCCTTCTGGACCACGGTGAAGGAAACTTTGATGTGGATAAACTCAGTGGAGCAGTAAGGATTGTACAGCAGTTGGACTTTGAGAGGAAGCAAGTATATAATCTCACAGTGAGGGCCAAGGACAAAGGAAAGCCAGTTTCTCTGTCTTCCACGTGTTATGTGGAAGTTGAGGTGGTTGATGTGAACGAGAACTTACACCCACCCGTGTTTTCCAGCTTTGTGGAAAAGGGTGTAGTGAAGGAAGATGTCCCTATTGGTTCATCAGTAATGACAGTGTCAGCCCATGATGAAGACACAGGACGAGACGGGGAGATCCGATATTCCATTAGAGATGGTTCTGGTGTTGGGGTTTTCAAGATAGATGAAGAAACAGGTAAATTTGTTTGTATTACTCTGGTTTTTGATAGTCTTCTATTATTACTATTTATATTAGCCTTGTGATAGTTCTTTCTCAGTTCCCAGTTGATCTCATGTAGGGCTCAGTATAGAAATTCATGCATGTTTGTTTGCTGTCCATATCTATGTTTATGTGCAATAAATCATGTAGGTGAAGCCAGGGGAGCCTCAATGGTCAAATGAGTGTAAAATAACTACAAGAATATTGAATTTTTTTACCACTGATACTCATCCCCAAGTTTGTACTTTGTGTCATTAAAAGCATTGTTGTGATTTTGTGGTACCTTTGAGAAGCCCCTTCCAAGGTTTTTCAGGTTAATATGTTTACAGGCTCTTGCTTACTGTAGTCACCAGCACTATGCCATCTACTGGTTGTTGCACACCTGAAAAGTTGGGCCACACACTGAGAAGGTTGTGTGGTGAAACTTCTTTGATGTGATCAGCTTTACTTAGTACTTCCCGAGGTTTTGTTTGAGAGGTACGTGATAGGTAGTGAAATCCTGAATGAAGATTACCTGGCTTAGAATCTTGGTTGTTGCAGTTGTTTATTATCTTGGACAGATGAGATGTTTTTTGAACATTTTTCATCTGTAAGGTAGAGACACTAAAAATAACTACAAGATTTATGTGAAGATGCAGTAAATAAAATAGAAAAGCTCTTAGTATGTGTTACATTTTAAAAAACTAGTTTTGGAAATGGTAGCAGTCCTTTGTTATGTTACTTTTTTTTTCTTTCTATATTTTAGGGAAGGGTCTGCAGGGTGTTCAGGGTCTCACTACTAAATTGGACTGGTAGTGTAAACAAGCCACCCAAGAGCTGGGATTACAGGCACACACCCCCACACCCAGTCTCAATCCTTCTCTTAGTGTGCCTCAGGGGCAGGGCCTGCATGGCAAGCCCTGGGATCGAACCCCCAACCCCTGCGCCTGCTTGCAGATACTTTAATCCACTGAGCTATCTGGCCAGCCCTTGTTATGTTACTTTTTCATCTAGAATACAGTTCTGAAACTGGGACCACCAAGATGGCCTGTTGATGGGAGCCTGTGCTCTGTGCTTCCTGTGTACCCTACTAAGAACCATTCCTGGAGAGTGAATGAGCCTTCCAGGGCAGGTTTTGGCTTATGTTCGTTCTGCCTTCAAAGCCTAGCAAAAAGTACCTGGCATGTAGAAGCTGCTAAATAAATGTTAATGAAAACTGAAGAAGTTAATGCATATTTTGGCTTTGAATGTTTGCCTTATGAGCATGAAAGTATAAATAGAAGGAAACTGAGTAATCACCGTGTTGTAAAGTAATAGGTGGACCTCAATGAGTTCATTAATTTGATCAATGTTTCATTTATAATCTGTTCATTATAAAAGGGAACTTTTTTATTACAATTTTATATATTCATTAATGCCACACATCCACAAAACCCCCAAATTCTTTTTGTTTTTTTTTTTTTTGTATTTTAGGGAAGGGTAGTTCAGGGTCTCACTACTAGATTGGACTCTTAGTGATCCACCTGTTTACAGCCTCCCAAGAGCTGGGATTACAGGCCTATGCTACCACGCCCAGTTTCAATTGCTCTCTCTGCATGCCCTGGGGGCAGGGCCGGCAAGGCAGGCCCTGGCAGGTCCAGACAAGCCCTGGGCAGGCCCTGGGATCGAACCCCTGGCCCCTGCACCTGCTTGCACACGCTTTAATCTGCTGAGCTATTGCCCCCCCAATTCTTTAGTTAACACTCATCGCAGTATTTATATTGACTCCTGAAGGCCTATAACACATGAACAGTATAGCTTATGTTTGAAATATTTTGGAGGTTATGATTTTCTATTATGCTTTTATTAATTCAAGGGATTCTTTTTATTAATTTATTACATACAGGAAATCTACAGATTACATAAGTAAGATTCTTATAGTGTAATTCATAAGAAAGTAAAATAATCAGTAGTGTTTGGCATTTACTCCTCTAAAAAAGTAGTGTTATTTTTGTCATGTTGTCCAATATAAATTAGAATTTTCAAGGATAATGTCAGTTTAGAAAAATATCCAAAACTTAGGTGAAGCTGAAGCTATAATTTTATAAATTTTCTAAGAGTGATTACTTTTTACTTTTTTTGTCTCCAAAACAGAATTTAAAACCTGGAAAAAACTGGTACAGGTTACAGTTGCATCAGAAAATAGAACCTAAATGTTAACTTACTTTGTGACTTAAATTATATGAACTCTGCCTTTGGCTTTTATTGTTACTTTATAAAGAATCATTTAGAAGCTACTATTTTTCACTTACAAACTTAAGAAATTGGATTATTCTTAACTACCAAAAAAAAAGCAAAACAAAAAAGGAAACGACCAACCAAATAAGGCAGTGACCTGAAATAGCTCCATGGCAGTTTTCAGAGCTACAGTGCAGTGCCAGACTTTCTCAGTGGTAATTTAGGGGGGAGGAGAAAGTAGCAGGGTTATGGGTAGTGCGGTTGGCAACTGTATAAAAGACCGTTATGCATTTGTGTAAATAATGATACTTAAATGTGAGAAGCTGGAAATTTCTTGGTTATTCTGTAGTCCGTGATTTAGAGAGGAAAGTACTCAATATATGCTAGTTTGGTGTTTATTTGCTTTTTGAAATTGAATAAGTGTTACAGTGATATTTATGCATTGAACAGCTAAGCATATTTTTGATGTGAAGTTATCAGACCAAGTTATTTTAGAGATTCCTGAACAGGACCATTGGTAATGATAGAATTCTTTCAAGAAAAAAAAAAAAAATCAGTGTTTTATGCAGTAGAAAAGAATAATGTTCAGCAATTTGAAGCTTGTTTTCACTGTTCTTAAGATCTCTTGTCTTTCTGTTTAAATCTGCTTAGATCCGAAGTGTCAACCTGATACATGTCACCAAAGGCTGTTTTCTTAACTCTGGATTTTGTGTTTTGTTAATTGGTTTTGCAGGGAGGTGTTATGTATTTAAAGTGTGGGAATGATAATCATTTTCACATCTGATAATCTCTCCCTGTCTCATGTGCTTTTTCTGTATGGGTTGCTGAGTATTAGCGAACTGTTGTGATAAGTCTGTGCTCACATGATTGCTCTTCTATTTGAAATTTGGAAGGGATGAATGTGACTTGAAAAGTTATTTGGAAAGTCAGACTTGTTCGAGAGCCTATTTCCGGAGCTCCACGCGATTCTTTAAATTTCTCTGCTTAAAATCCACACTGAGGGTGCTAAAGTACATTCAACAAAAGTATTAGTGGAGCGAGTATCTTTGAAGCGTGTGTGATTTCACATTAAGGTTTGCCTGACATGCTTCTGAACAGTCACCTCACTTTTAAGTATGTTCTTAGTTGCTTTTTGTTATAAGCATCATCCTGAAGAATACACTCTATTTAGTCTTCTTAGCTAATGGCTATCCATTAAATTAATTAGTGATTGAGGACCAAAAAAGTTGCATTTTTTTGCTGTTAACATTTAAAGTGGAAGTAGTATCTAGAGAAATGCTTATCCAGAAGATATTTACCATTGTTGGTGGAAAGCTCGGTGGAAGCGTGTTTGGCGGAGTCCCTCCCTGAGGTGTGGTGATGGAATGCGCCTGGCTGTGTTTCTGTGTCAGCGTAGTTGGTGGCTAGTACAGTGCCACCTGGTAAGAGGCTTTCCTCTGCTTGCTCTGTTGATTTGGGGAGACTATGTTTTTCATTAAGATAAGAGCACATTTTTAAATTTATGAATGCTGTGTTAATTTTAGAATCCCAGTTATGACTTCAGGATTGAAACCTATTTTTTGATGGAACTTGTTGGAATGATTAATGGAAGTGGCTGTTACAAGATATCATTCATGAACTATGAGGAAGAAAATGACTAGACTTTTCTTAGGAAAAAATGGCTGCAACGTTGTGGGAAGCATGAGTCCACTGTCCCTGTATCAGTGAGATACAGGAGATGCTGGCTCCCAGCTTTTCTTAGATGGAGAGGGGATGAGCACATTAGTGCCCAGGAGACAAACGGAAGGAGATTCTTAGCCTTCTGACCTCATAAACAGACTGTTTTGAGATCCTCTCTTGTTTGGCAGGATTCTGAATATTTTCATATTTTAGTTATTCATTTAAGTTTTCAAACTGCGTTTTCCTGACTTACTTGGGACATTCTGCATGTATCCGGGGAGCTACTGTTTTTCACGACTGCTTATTCTCTTATGATGACAGGATATCGAGTGTAGAGAATGCTAAGGGGCTGTGTGTCACGACTGAAAACTGGCAGAGTGGCAGAGTGCTGGGCGGCCCATGCAAGTGTGGCTCCTGTGGTGGGTGGGTGCAATTCCTTCTTTTGGAACTGGTCTAGAATTCCCGGCAGCACAAACTTAAATAGATAGTGGTGGGAGGCCCGGTTAGGGAGTTAAGAAATTTGCTGGTGAAAGGGCTTTTGTGTTGCTGGCTCCTCCCTTAAGTGGCAGCAGCTGCTGTCCTCTTCTTTTTGTTCTTCTCCTAGGAAAGTTTAAGAGAAAGAAAAAAAAAAGTTCTCAGCTACAGTGAGCTTGAAAATCAGGCCTTGGTGGAAATTCTGTTAGGATGGATAGTGTGCTGCTGCTGCTGCTGCATTCAGGAGTGAAAATGCTCCTTTGTGTGTGCACGGTTGTGAGTCTGGGTGGGGCATGGTGATAATATGCGGGAGAAAGGACCGTCTGCTCAAGTAAAGGATTCTTAAGGCCAAAGTAGGATCTAATTTGAAGTCCTAAGGAAATTCCATTTTGTTTTGAAAGAAAACAAGGTCAGCTCTTCAGATATTTCTGTGATATTTAACAAGCTGATGCTGTAAGTGCTGAGTGCTAAAATCTAAGGTGGAGAGGTTGAGATATAAACTGCGAAGGTTGTGTTATGTTGTGAAGCACAGGGTGTGGTGCCTTTGATACTTTGCGCTGTGCCTTCTCTTGACGCAGTTCTTCATAGCATGTAGGAGCCAGGATTGCAAAGTGTGGTGTAGAAGCAACTTACAGCTTGATCTTTTG